AAAAAAGGAAATTCTCTTACTTTTAGCAACAGTAGTGAGGAAAGGATGCTCTGCCTCTCTCCCAGGCAGGAAGGGAGAGTTATCTGATTCCTAAGGGAAAGCTTAGGGGCAACAGCCACCGCGGGAGAAGAAGTCAAAGAGGTTCCCACAAATTCTGCCGGCAGGGACTTCATGTGGTTCTTGGGTGTTCTCACCAGGCTGCATAAAACAGGTCAATGTAGAAGGGGAAACAGGTGCCTTGTTTGAAACCTGTGTGAAACCTGAGTACAGCAGAGGAGGGTCTGAATTTGGTATCCAAGTGGACGCCTGCAGAACTGATACAATTTCTGTGGGTGCATTTTCCTCAGGGAAAACTTTCCTGGTTTTCATCATCTTCCTATGGATTAAAGACACTTGCCTCTGGGCTATGTCAACTCTAAGATGCATACCTTATCGTCACCCACACCCTCTGCCCTACTTGATATATCAAGGGAAGATTATGGGGATGGGCTTTAGAAAACTGCAGGAGTGGATGACAAGCAGTCTTCGTGCTCTGCCCTATGTCTGCCTGGAGCTTCCCCTCAGGGATGTATCCTCTGCATGTCCAGATGGCTTGAGCAGAGCAAACTGTTACCAGTTTTGTCCTTTTCTTCAGCCTGAGGATTCCCTTCCCTGTCCAAACCCAAGGCATCCTCATTGCTTCTGAGGGATCACTTTTATGTGGCCCTTTTTTGTCATGGTCTTGTAGCTAATAGAACCCTATAAGCTGAGTCCAACTCATAGCAATTCTCTAGTGAATTTCTGAGGCTGTAAATCTTTATACTATGGAGTTACATGTGACTCAAAGGCACTTAACAACAACTAACAAACTTTTATGTGATCTTTTAGAGAGGTCTGGTGGATTCAGCTTGACAGCAGTGGGATTTTAGCTTTTGGAAGGAGACTGGTCAGTTCAACCACGCTGCTGCACTTAGAGCCAATTTCAGAAAGAAATAAGATATGCTTGGAGCATGGTTCCTGAGAACCACTGAGCATTAGGTGATAGACTGAGAGCCACATACTGGCAACGGCCTAGGATGGCAAGAGGCAGAGAAATGGCTGCAACAGAACCAAGAGACAGATCGAAGATGATGTAGTGGGCTTCCCGCCCATGGAGCAAGGTGGCTACAATGTGGTGCCAACTCCAGGAATGAGACAGTTGAATGCTTTAGAGGAAGAGGCTTCCTGGCGGAGTGGAGCACCTCTGGGAACTTGGACAATTAGGTTCACTGACTCACTGCAGAGAGAGAGTTGAGTGCCTCCAGGCTGAGGTTTACTGCCAGAGTCAGGTACCTCCAGGTACTTATTGGTAGAGCTAAAGAGCTTTGTAATCCTTGCATGAGCTGAGCAGATGTCAGGTCAAGTGGTAGAGTGGCTGAGAGAACAGAGAAAAGACTGTCTATGGGCATGGTTGTGAAGCAGTCCTGACCAAAGAACTATAAATCATTCCTGACCCTGATTTATAACTTGTTACTTCCCTAATAAACTCCTAAATAGGAACATAGTCTGTGAGTTCTGTATGGCCATTGCAACAAATTATCAAACCCAGCAGAGGAGTCAGAGAGTCCCATGAGAGGGAAAGCTAGCTGGCATCACAATTGGTAAAAATGTTTGGCTGTTATTGTTATTATTGTTGTTCTGTGCTGTCAGAACTGACTCATAGCTGACTCTCCAGCAGGTTTTCAGAGGCAGTAGATTGCAAAGGAGGAGATGATCCATCTTTCTCCTTCAAAGCAGTTGGTGGATTTGAAACACAGACCTTAAAATAAGGTATTTCTGACTGCCATCTCATAGCAATCAGTCGTGGGCGGCTATTGGTGGTGAGGTTTTTTTTCTCTTTCAAGAAGTTAGATTTTTTTAAGTCATTGCACCATATTACAGCTTCACTTTGTCATTGCTCCTCCTACTGCTACCAGACCTGGGCCCATTTTTTTCTGTATTTCCCTAGATTCACTGTCCTGCCCTTGATCCTCCCAAATTTAATAGCCCCAAAGTCACAATAATACTTCAACAAGACAATTGCAGAGTTCTCCCTGACCTTGGCTCCTAGTGACCAGGCTGACTTGTTAGCCTAGGGGTTCTAGGTGGAACTCCAAGGTGGTAGGCAAAGGGGCAGAGTTCAAGCTTTACCTCACTGGGATCAGAGTCCAATCCTTGTCCCATTCACCTCTAGGTCTCTGGGGAAGTTCATGACCTGGATACATTCTTTTAGAGAATATCTTTAGTAGTGACTTTTTCTGGTGCTCTCCTCTATAACAACTATAGAACTACCCAACCAGTTGTAGCTACAGGGGCTCTGGTGACCTAATGGTTAAGGAGTTGTGCTGCCATTCTGAAGGCACCAGTTAGAATCCACCGAGGGAGAAATATGGGAAATCTCCTCCCATGTGGGTCTGCAGGCTCTGAAAACTCACTGGAGGGCCCACTAATGAAATGGTTCTGACTTGATGGTAATGAACAGCAACAGTCTTAGATATGAGCAAAAGAAACATCAAAACTACTCTGTTAGTTTTAAGCTGATTAATTGTTGTTGTTTGTTGTTATGTGCCATAGAGTTGCTTGAGACTCATACAACAGTTCTATTCTCCGTGCACTACTAGAGCGTACATACATCATGAAGTGAGTCTGTTTCCTTTCAATTAAAAATGAAAAACTTTGCTGATACTGGGGCAGGGCTGCCTCACATTTGGAGAGAAAAAAATCAGTAGGGGAGAATGTTGGCCTAGACACAGAAGCAAGGAAGGAGAGAGGAGCCTATGAGTCTCTCCTCAGGGCAGGGCCCTCAGTATCTGCCGGCATTAGCTGCATGGCCTTAGGCAGGTCTGCTTATCTTCAAGGGCTTCCTCTCCTCCACAAGGTAGGTAGCACCAAGGATTGTTTTAATTGCTTTTTTTTAACAGGAACGTCCTTTTAGTCCAAATGAAAGTGGCATATGGAAGCCCACAACATAAAAATGGCGCAAGGAGAGCTACCGAAACCTGCCTTTGAGCTCCCCACACAGAATGGTTGAGTTCTGAGAGCATACCATGAATCCATAAGAAGGGGGTCGGGCTGGCTCAACCCCTATACCCTATGCAACTCTCTCAGCCTTGGAGGGTCTTGGCAGGTGAAGGTATTTCTGACCTCCACTCCAAAGCAATCAGTCTTAGGATGCTGTTGTTAATGATTTTCTTTCTTCTTCAAGAAGGTAGATCTAGAAGCCCCTGCATCATTTTACAGCTTCACTCCATTATTGCGTCTCTCTTGGCCATGGAACTACCAGATCTGAGTCCATTTTTCTCTGTCTATCCCTAGGTTTACTGTCCTACTCTTGGTCCTCCCAAGTTTAGGAACCCTAGAGTTACAAGATACCACATGTTACAATAATGCTTCAACAAGACTGCTTACAAGGTCCTCCCTGGCCTTCGCTGGTGGAGAAAGGCCGCAACCAGACAGCATTCGCATTGTACCTGGACCTTAACTTGAAGGTTAAACAGGTGGAGGAAGACATTTCATTCTAAACTTCTGAGAATACTGGATGGACTCCTCTCCAAAGTAAAACAGATTGTCTGATCAAAGTGTTATTCTTTAAAATCTACCTCTCCTGACTGTTGGTGAGGATTACATGAACTGGTTCAGTTATGCCTCCATTTCAAAACAGTCCGTTCTGCAACCTGTGGTCCCCCAACTTCGAACATACTAAGCCATTTGTCCTAATGACACAGCACACTCTCAAGTTCAGAATACCACAAGAGTATCACACGACTACAAATTACTAGGTGGTGCTGAGTTTCTTTTCTTTTCTTTCTTTTTTTTTTTTTTTTAAAGGAAGGGACACAAAAGCAGTGCACTGTTTTGAGATCCACATTTGATATGGACTAATCAAATCGGTTCTGAGATTACTTTCCTTGATGCAGAATTATTTCTGCACAGTTAAACAGCATTTATGTCTCTCCCACCCCCCACGCCGTTGGATCTGTGTATAAACACACCGCACACGTAGTTAGTTGACTGTTTTTTCTCTCACTGAAGCTTCTGAAGACAAAAACTTTCTTGTGGATAAGGAAAGGTAGGGTCAATCAACCTTACAAAAGAAGTCACTTAAGGCTTAATGGTCCCAACTTTCCTAGGACTGAAATGTCTAAAAATGTTGTGGTTGTGTTCTCACTCCCCCATTCCTTTCAATAAATCTTTAAATGGTCTCCCCCTTCCAAGGGACACTTCCCCGCAGGCCCCCACTCCAACCCTCCCCCCAGCCCTCTACTTAATTTTTCACTCTGACATTGCAAACACAAAGGCTGGCCTTTTCCCCCCCAAAGCCCAAACTATTTTTAAAATCGGAGCCCTCTGACCCTTTTATACAACACTCTTCTTTTTACAACACTCGCATCTGACACATCAAATGAAAGCAAAAGACGGAAGAAGGTCTCCGGGTTTAGAAGGGCAAAGAGAGGAGAGAGAGATTCTCTCTATATGACTATATATATTCAGGATTAGTTCAGAAATTCAGAAAATGTTTTTGTAAACCACTCCCCCAGCCAGGATTCCGGCTCCTGCCTTCCAGCAAATTAAAAAAAAAAAAAAAAAGAAGAAGAAGATGTGAGCGAATGAAATGGGAGCCAGGGAGGGGACATCTAAAGCGGTCGTAGGTCGTAGGAAAACGCACAACTAGATCACCGTGTCACATCCTCCCTCCAACAAGCAAAGGTCAGAATCTAGCCCTTTCCAACAGCTAAGCAGTCCAACCCCAAGAAGTAGCTCAGACTTGCAGCAGCACCTCCCCGTAACGGCTTCTGCTAGACCAACCGAAGGACTGGGGGATACCGCCTCTGCGCGTCGGCGTGGCACGCTGTGCACCCAGAACCATACACGCTCTATAAAAAAAATACTATGGACGCACAGGCCTGGAGTTACTTAACTTCTGAAATGAATCTCAGACAGCTCCAAAGAGTCCGTCTATCAGTCAAACAAAATGGGGAAGTAAAAAAGAGAAGGCACATTACCATCCTGTCCCGAGCTCTCCAGATACTCCGTCAGGTCACAGCCAAACGCACTGGCGGCTCCCTTTCGTTTCAGCTTCTGCTTGGCACCCTTGTTCTTCATGAGTTAGTCCCAAAGAGGCTGCACCTCCGTCTTTCCTCCCCTCTGCTTGGCACCGTGCGTGAGATGGTCTCGGGGGTGGGGGCTAGCTCGCTGGCTGCAGCGCGGCTCTGGGGGGCCGCATGGGCGTCCACTCGAAGCCGGGGCGCGGGCCGCGCACACGAAGCCCGCGGGGCGCAGCTCTCGGAGCCGGCGGCCGGCGGGCAGAGCCTGGAAGCCGGCCTGCGCTCGTCCGGGGCCGCGGCGGGGAGGCCGTGCAGAGCTGCCTGCTGCGCTCCGGCTAGCCTGGGAGTGTCACTTCCTCACTTGGAGTCCCAGGGACTTTGGCAGGCTCCCGCCGCGTCTTCGGGTACTTCTCGTCCGCCTCAGAGGGAGGGGAGAGAGCCCTCCTTTGCGCCTTTCCAACCGCTCCAAGGAGGACGCACGACGTTCCCGGGCCCGCTGTCTTGCCTTCAGACGGCTGGGGTAAAATGAAAAACAAGCATCCTGTCTCTTGCCCGCCCTCACGCCTTCCCTTTTTTCCTGTCTTACAAATCCTAGGATCATCCAGCTCAGGAAACGCTGGAAGGAAGTTAGCTAGGGAGGGGGCGGAGGGTGGAAATTTTTGGCAGCTCTGCGCTGGTGTGTGCATGGAGCCGGAGGAAGTAGGTGGGTGGGTTGAGGAGGACTAGGTGGGGGAGAGAACGCGCGCTTCCGAGGCTGCTGCGCGGCTCTGGAGATAAGTCCGAGCGGCCGGAGGAAATCGCCGCTCTCCTCCGAGGACCCGCGGCCGAGCCGCCCGCTTCCTGCCCCGGCAGCGCTGCGCTTTGAAGACGGGGAGGAGGTGCGCCGGCTCGCGGGCCGGGGGCAGCTAGCTGGCACTCAAAGAAAAGCCCTGCCTTGTTTTTATCCATGTTGTCATCATCGCTTTGACACGTTCTATTTTGGTGCCTGCCTTTCTCAGACACACACAAACGCACACTTATAAAGAGTAATGACAGAAACAAAGACGGGGATTCCAGAGGGAGAAACCTGACAGGGAGCCACGCCCAGCTGTCCCGCAGGACATCCTTGTCCCCCCAACCTTAGTTCAGTCCCCTCCCACGCCAAGGCAAGAACACCCTTGGGCAATGATAGGCTTCCCTGCCGGGAAATTAGATTTCTGGTTACAGAGCCAAGTACACACACCCCACCTCCCCACACCACACACCCCTACACATATTATATACACACACACTCATCCATCCACAAACACTCCTCCACACACACATCCCCCCACCACACACACACCCCCACACCACACACCACACATACCTACACACACACACTCCACAACTGACACCACACATTCACACACACACACACACCCACACACACTATGGTAAAGTTTTTAGTTAAGTTGATTTAAGACGTCCCTGACATGCTAGCATAACATGGAGAATGTAATCTTCTTGGTCGCTTCATAAATTGGCTCAAGTTATCCCAGCAAAGCATGGTTTTTTGCTTCTTCAGTTAGATTTGAAATTCCTTGACTTCTGTGTACTCAGCACACAGTAAGCACTCAAATTCTTGTGAGTTAACCGTTTGGGGATTAGGTTAGACTTCCTGTGTAAACTCAAATCCGTGCATAAGTTTCAAGGGGTGGAACGTTTTATACAGTTCAGGTTGCTGCCAAAAGTCTTAGCAATATTTTTGCTGTTGTTTGTTGCGATGTGCCATTGAGTCGCCTGAGACCCTGTGTACCCCAGCTCTGAATCTTGGCCCTCTCCTGAGCTAGTCTCACTGTCTCCAAAACACCTGCCCTTAGTTACTGTGTCAATCCACCTCATCCAAGGTCTTCCTCTCCTGCATTGTCCCTCCACTTTCCAAGCAGGAGTCCCTTTAGTCACTTGTCACCCTAGGTACCATCCTGACAGTTTATGAATTTTGATCCTTGCTCTTATTCTTATTCCTGAAGTCACAATTCAGTAGTAGTCTGCCTGCTTGCCTGCCAAATCTGGGCTACAGATGTGTTTGGCTTCACAGACATCGTGCTTTAAAAATTTTTTTTAAATTAGTGGCTAGCATGAAAGAATTAAGAGATTTCACACAAGAAAAGTGGATTTCCTACCATCCTTTAAAAAAAAAATAGAATCTGATAACACTAGAAATATATTCCCCACACAGCAAGGACTGACTGAAGCCTTGGTGGCCACACACTTGGAAGCAGTCTTACAGCTGCCATGGTTACTTTTCCCCTTCCCACCTGCCTGACCACGGGAGCCACAGCAGCTGGCAGTACAAGCTCAATGTGTCTCTTTCCTTACATTTCAGTGATATCAGCAGTGTCCCAGACACCCAGTTCTGTGGCAAGACTCTTGAAGTAACCACTGATTCATTGCTCTCCCATCTGCCGTCTAGTCCTGCCCACTCACCCAATGAGTCCTTCGGAATGCCTTGCTCATCAAGTTTCTTCTGTCTCGGGCCCACTCAGAGAGGGTCACCCCACTCTTCCATTATTAGAATAAAGCCTAATGGTATTTGCTGAAACCGGTCTCTTTCCACCTCATCCATCCTATACACCAAAGGCCTGATGAACAAATCTTCCTAATGTCTGACTGTTGTCTTATGCCTCCTTTGTTCAAAACCCTTCAGTAATGTCTTTTTCTTATAGCTAGGCCAGCAATTTCTAAGCATGTTGCAGTGTTTGAAAAGTATTTGGTAGCAAATATTATATAATGGCTTGTTCTCCCCTTTGCTCATAATCTTCTATCTAGGGACTATAATTATTGCTATTAGCATTTGTATTTGCAATCGCTTGTTATGCATCAGAGAGTTGGACAATGACTAGGGAGGACAGAAGGAGAGCGGATGCTTTTGAGCGGTGGTGCTGGAGAAGGGTACTGAATGTACCATGGACTGCCAGGAAAACAAACAGATTCATCTTGGAGAGGATTAAACCAAGCTACTCCTTGGAGGCAAGGATTCTGGGGCTTCGTCTGACATACTTTGGACATGTTGCCAGGAGGGACGGGTCCTTGGAGAGGGACATCATGCTTGGGAGGGTGGAAGGACAGCGCAGGAGGGGAAGACCCTCTATGAGATGGATTGATTCGGTGACTGGGGTAATAGGGATGGGTGTGTCAGAGGCAGTGCGGTTGGCACAGGATAGAGCAGGGTTTAGAGCTGTTGTGCATAGGGTCGCTATGAGTCGGAAACGACTCGATGGCACATAACAACAACAACATTAGCATTTGTGTCATTTATTCTAACAAGGACCTTCATCTTCTTTATTTTATCTGGTATCCAATGGATTTAATCATCCAGACAGCAAAGAAAAGAGGCAGAAGGACCTTTTTGTTTCCCTAGATCCAAGCCTCCAGGGCACAATTTGTGAATAAGTGGCCAAGCCTTTTTAAAGTATGCTTTTAAAAAATTATTTTGCTTTTTATTTTGAAGCAATTTTAGGTTTCAGGAATAGTACAAAAAAAAGAATTACTGTGTGCTCTTCACCTATTTTCCTTAAACATTACCATATGAGCACTACAAATCTTAAGACTAAGAAGCTTGTATTGTTAAAACAATATTAGTCAATGGGGGGTGGGGGGGAAGTGAAACCTATTGCAACTGAGTCAAATCCAACTTCTTGTGACCTATAGGACAGAGTAGAACTGCCTTACAGTTTCCAAAGCAGCGAATCTTTGTGGAAGTAAACTTGAATCTATGTCTCACAGAGTAGCTGATGGGTTAGACCTTTGACCTTTCAGTGCAGTGAAGTGCTTAACCACTGCATCACCATAGGACCTCTAGTCAATAGACCTGTTTAAACAAGAATTACTTTTAAATTTCCTTTCTATAAAGTATAGATTTTCTCCCAAAAAGTCCATCAGCTTAGTGGTTTTTAAATCATTCTCAAAACATTTCATGGCCTGATATTAGCTATGTTGTTATGAATTGCAAGAACATGGGAACAGTCCAAATGTCCAACCCACAACTGAGTGGATTGAGAAATTATGGTATATTCACACAATGGAAAACAAACTCTTATCATGAAATGTGTAAAGATTGAAGTTTAAAAAAACCAAAAGGGAAGAAATACTCATTGTTCTCAACCTGAAAGAACTAAGGGGAAAGGAAATATTCATACTTCAAGTTGTAATACTGAAGGGTTCCATAGCAAAACATTCAATGACATGTTGTTTGTTGTTATGAGCCGTCGAGTCGCTTGCGACTCATAGTGACTCTATGTTCAACAGCCTAAAACTCCGCTCTGTCCTGTGCCAATCGCACTGTCTCCGACACTCCCATCCCAATTATCCCAGTCACTGAATCAACCCACCTCATAGAGGGCCTTCCTCTCCTGCGCTGTCTCTCCACCCTCCCAAGCATGATGTCCCTCTCTAAGGACTGGTCTCTCCTCACAACATGTCCAAAGTATGTTAGACGGAGCCTCAGAATCCTTGCCTCCAAGGAGCCACTCGGTTTAACCCTTTCCAGGATGAATCTGTTTGTTTTTCTAGCAGTCCATGGTATTCTCAATACTCTTCTCCAGCACCACAGCTCAAAGGCATCAATTCTCCTTCTATCCTCCTTGGTCATTGTCCAACTCTCTGATGCATAACAGGTGATTGCGAAGACCATGGCCTGTATCAGACGCACCTTAGTCTCCAGAGAGACACCATTGCTCTTCAGTACTTTGGCATAGGAAGTATTAAAAAGAAAAAACTATGGGGAAATACATAGAATCACTGTACTCTTAAGAATTGATTGGCACAGAACCATTCAGGAAGTACTATAAGGTCAAAGACCAATCGTACTAAAAGAAGAAGTCCAAGCTACACTGATGGCATTAGCAAATAATAAGACCCTAGGAATTGATGAAATATCAATTGATGTGTTTAAGCAAACAGATGCAGTCCTAGATAGGCTCACTATTCTATGACAAGAATTTTGGAAGACAACAACTTATCAACTGACTTATTTCTGCTTACCTAAAAGAGATGGTTCAACAGACTTGGGAAATTATTAAACAGTATCTTCAATAT